AAATTAGTGTATTCGACTGTAATTTTGAGTTATTTTAAGAATTATATTCAAGTTAATTTTTCAATTACTACAAAATATCGAGTTTGGCAACCCTGCATTGCAAGAGATTGCTATCTCACTCTCAGCTCACTCGTTTCTACGGAAAAAAATCCAATTTTCGTATATATCCTACCGTACGGTCTGTAGAAGCTAACGGTAGAAACGGTGGTGACTGATCATTTACGTGACGTTTATTCTTGGAACTCGTGTTATCTGTAGCAAAATAAAAGACGGGAGCCTGTAATCGACCCCCAAGACTTTGAACGCGTTTTGCTGTTTTTCTAGAAACACTGTTTTCACCGTCGGTCAGAAAAACTTCTTGTAACGGCTGAACCGATCAACTTCACACGGCTTTCATAGATAAATTTGCCAGATAATGATCGAAGGAATAAGATTTTTGATAATATTTTCGATTTTTTGAACCACTTCGAAGAGTAAATTTTTTCACAAAGATCGATTTTTCTTCAGGAACCTGCCATTTTGTTAAATCTATAGTATATATATATAATTTTCGGATTTGAGATAATTTCAAGCATAAAAATCTTGCTCACCGCCAGACACTCTTTTTAAGAGGACGACAGACACTTCTTTCTGGAGATCAGCTACGGTTGCGAAATAATCACCGCTCACTATCTTCACGACCTTTAGCATGTGTTATTGCCTAAGGCAATATGGCAATCTCCGAAAAATTGTGCAGATCCGATAACTATAGCATACAGCTGCCATACAAACTGAATGATCGGAATTAAGTTCTTTTAAGAAACCTTTTGTATTTGTGAAAGGTATTATAGTTTCGGTGCGATCGAAGTTCACGTTTTTTCTTGTTTATTTATTTATTAAATATAACGCATCTTAAAAAAAAAAATACAAAAAATTATTTTTTTTCTGACTCGCTAATTTCATACGTTTTTAGCATTACAAAATTTTTACGCATAATGACGGACTTATTCAAAAACCAGGTTGAACTTTTAACTGAAAAAAAATTCAGTAAATTATTTTTATACACGTTGAAATAACAAAAAAAATAATAGAAATGTATTTTAAGCCATAAAAATATCGTTTTTTTGAAAGTCATGACCCCGTCATACTCGTTACTTCAAAGCATCAAAGCTGTTACTACATATATAGGAAATGGGATAAACTTTTACTTCTCAAACTACCCGCTTATGAACTATAGATGTATTTTAACCAATAGAAGTTGATAAGGAGCCCTAAAGACTGCCCACACCAATACTTATGAACATAATTCATATAAGAATTTTACTTTTCATGCACAATTCGCGCAGTCACTGTAAATTGCTCGCTATAACAAGCAACAAGTGCCAAAATTTCAATTATCAACATTTTTAAATTATTACAAAACACAATTGTTGCCTTTGCGCCTTACATAATACTCACATACTATGGTATAAATAACTGTAACTAACGCATATGTGTGTTTTCATAGATATGTACATATGTATGTATGCATGCTCCGCTGTTACATATTAAAGTACTTCGCATACCAATTCATAAAACTCTTTCAACACAGCTAATCAATCAATCAACATTTTTCGAAACTTTGTGTGGCGATACTTTTCATTAGTTGTCGCTTGTAAAGTGTTTTGTTATTACTCTTGTTGTTGTACTCTTGAAATAAAAGCTTTGTACTTGTTGCTAACAAAGTGATAAAATTTAAAACATCATATAAAATATTATATGTAACAATTACAAGAATACTGTGTAACTTTAAGGTAAATTACCTTGTTGTCAACAACAACAACAATCACCAACCATTTCGCTGACGCTATAACCATAAAAGGCGCACAAGTGGCAGAACTATTTAAAAATGTTTAATTAACAATTAAACGCCAACTGCTGGCAAACAAAGAAACACACACACTTACTGGCTCCAAAAAGGAGAAATATTTGACAAAATTGTTTATTTATTTTTCAATTATGGTTAATGAAGAGTTTATTTGTGGTATATGAGAATAGCAATAGAAGAGGCAATTAAATGGTGTGTGAAGTACCGCTTTTGGTAAGAAAAAATGTAGAGGACTGGAAAAGTGGTATGATATAATATAAACTCGTCAGAAAATAACCAAAATTCCACAAAGTTTATAAATATAGTTGAAATAAATTTTATAATCAAAAGTATAATTACAAAGTAAACCACTTTTTGTCCGTTTAATAAAGTTCACTTTAAATTTCAGTTGAGAAAAAACACCGGACTCAATTTCTCAACGAAAAGACTACAAGACCTTATATAAAAAAATATTATTTCTGCAAACCTAAATTCTAACCCCTTACCTTCTCCGTAAACATATCTCTTAACTGAACTGATCTTATTACGTATCTCTTCCTTTTCTATAACGAAAGTGAAGATCGAGTATGCTAACTTCTTCCGTTTCGGATGCATATTGTCAAAAACTCGACTGCAACACATCAAAATAGATAACTGACTTTGCGTGTCCATTGTTTGTAACATAAAATGAATGTACCCAATATTTCGATGATTCCACTGGCCAACAAACCACTACAAACCCTTGTTTTTTTGCATGGCAGCTTTTGAATCTCTTCAGGTTGCACTTCGTCCCAAATGCGGCAATTTTGCTTGTTAACATACCCATTGAGTCAGAAATGGCCCTCATCGCTGAACAAAATTTGACTCGAAAATGTCGGATCTTCTTTGAACTTTTCAAGAGCACATAGAGCGAAGCAATGTCGCGAAAAAGGGCGAGCGGCTTCAGTACTTGGACAAGCTGTATTTTGTACGCTTTCAATTTAAGATCTCGACATAAAATGCGCCAAGTCGTTCCGTACGTCAGTCCGGGTTGCTGCGAACAGCGCCGAATCGACACGGTCTTCGTGTACACTCTCAGATACGGCCACTCAAGGCCGCTACGGTCTCAAGATGGGGGATGGTACGCTCAGTTGACCATAAGTTGACAAAAGACATGTGAACGTTGTTTAGGCGTAAATCTTTTCACGATAAAATGCCAAACAATACTGAACTAAAATAACATGACAGTTTGACACGACTCATGCGTAATCTGTCAAAAAAATGCTATTGAAAAATGTATCTTTACTTGAATCATTACAATTTATAAACAGGGTTGCATAGTGCATAAAAAAAATAATTTAATTAACATGTGATTTAATTTTTTTTTTTTTTTTGTAAAGCCAAATACGGGATTAAAACATAAAATACAATTTTAATAAAAAATATAATTTTCTATTTTTAATTCCTATTATCATGGTTTTTAAAAAAGTTCCTGAAGATTTTCATCTTCAATTAAATATATGATTTTGTGCATGTTAAAGCAAGCGAGACCATTGAGACCCTTGTGTTCCATCGTGTTTTTAAAATAATTATTAATTTTCCTTAAAGTCAAAAACGATCGTTCTGATGTTGCTGTTGTTACAGACAATACTGCCAAAATTCATAAAACCTTATACCTAATAACACTTTCAAATTTTTCTCATTTATAAGCTAACATATTGTTTATAGTCATAGGGCACACTTTTCGTTCTATTCAACTACTTTATTCAAACTATTTTGGCGATTATTTATCCCTAGAGAAAAAAATTTAGCTATATACCATATAAAAAAAATAAAAGTATTAGTCCATATTTTCATCAGCAACTGCTGTTACGAAATTGTCTTCCAAATAACAGTAATTTTTCAAAACCCTCCCCTTTTTAAAATCGTGAATCCGCCCCTAATGACTTTATTCCATATATTATATGTATATTATCGCTTTGATAACCAGTAAGAAACCGGTAAGAAACCAGTAAGATGGCTCAGATCTGACCCAATATGTGTAACTGAGTAACTACTTTGCTATTTTCAGAAATCTCGCTCAGGAAACTTTCCAAACATAATAGTTAATTGGTTAAAGATCTTAAACAGGCACTCAAAAAAGTTTTGCAATCTACAGCAAACAATTTTTTTTTCTGCAGGAGATTTTTTTTTTCTGTTAAGAAAATGTTTCATGCATTTTGAAGATTTTTTTGGAATCACTTAAAAAAAATTTTACATATTATGAACTAAAAATTTTCTTCATAATTATATTTTTACTAATAACTAAATTTAGCACAATTTAATGCATATAGTTACTAACTTTATATACTTTTATTATTTTTTTCATAACTTCTTCCACCAATCTATTTTTTTTGGTCTTCGTGAACAATCCCAATTTGTAGATCTGAATTAACTAGCCTCAGTCCATGCATTAAGTGTTTCAAACATCGTCTTACCAAATTAGCCTCAAAGAAAAAGTTAATCATTAATTATTAATAGATGCTACAATTCTGCTTGTATGTGTGTATGTCTGTCGTTATTTATGTGCGCTTAAATGGCAAGAATTTTAAATTGCTTAATTAGACGCAGTGTCATCGCCTTTAAATAGCGAAAGTAGTTCGAAAAATTTTCAATTAAACATTTCGTGTGAACGAGACTTGTTTCTGTTGTTGTTGTGTTAACTAATCGTTGGCATTCGTATGTAAATTTGAGATTTATTAAAATTGAATATTAATTTGGCTTTATTAGAATTTTTAGATTTCATTTTTTATTTTTTATTTTTTTATTATTCAAAGTTCAAGTTAGTTTCCAAGCGCTGATCTCATTTATTTGCTAAAATAAAACATTATATTAATTTTATGAAAAAACCCACTTAAAATATTACACACACATGCACACAATATAAAACGCTCTAGATAACTAGGTTTCTTGCCCAAACTCAAGCAAAAGTGGCAGAAAGCAGAGCATCTTCTTTATCTTTCAACAAATTATGTATATTTATATATATATCTATGTATGTATGTTTGTTTGTATGAGTAGGTGATTAGCGAATCACATGAATGCATATTTTTATATTTTGTAGAATATTCTTATGGTCGTTACTATTTTTGTTGTATTTTTTCAACACATTTTACTACTTTTCTCATTAATTTTTGTATTTTTTAACTGATCTTACCCACAAGATCCACGCAACCACCCACAACTCGTCTTAACATCAACCACTTGACAGTTTAATATTTATTTATCACTTAGCCGTCTGCATATACACCCACACATACAACTGATAAGGCGGTAAAATGCATGAAACACGAGTTTAGAATTTTTTTTATAATAACTTTTTCTAGTGACTCGCGTCACGTACCGGCTGCCGTGAGAATTTTTCAAACCACCGCTCAACAAACCATTTATGCGTGTGTAAAAAAAGTCAAAACAAGACCCCGCTCATATAAGTCAAACGTCGCGTACAGCGCCGTTGTCGCAATGCAACTGAAGCAACTCAAACCAAACAAGCTGGCTGAGGCCGTTGCGCGTAGCGTTTGATCGTTGGGTCGATCGTTGATGAGCGCCAATAGTTGGCGCTATTCGTTCGTAAACAGAGCGCATAGCGCCAAACAGCTGTTGTGATAAGTAAGCTAAACAAGTGAGCGTCCAACAGTACCTGGGTAGGCGGCACTATTTTTGGATCATTAAAAGCAGAACAAATGAATTTTGAAACCGATCGCAAAAACAAATCGTTTGAATATGACTCACCGCAGCTAATTTTTCAATAGGATAATATTTCAATTTTGAAAATAATACTTTCAAGTCTACTTTTGCAAAATTCTGCTAAACAGACCCAAAAAGCTTTAATTATCATATTTTAATAGATAATTGTATTATGACTTTAGTGCTCAAGTCTTCACTCTAGAAATTCATAATCAATATTTTACTGGTTTCAGTGCTCATGGACCTATTGTTGGTTTAATAAACATGCTTTTTTGCCGACTTCTTGTATAAAGAATTTGCGTTGACTTAAGCTTGAGGTACTGGTAATATATTCACCACAATTTTGTATTCGTCCGAGACTTAGCTTTGACTACTTGTACAATATCTAACCAGCAATTCTTTAACTATAATGGTAGTTTACGCCTCTTCGAAATCATGAATTTTCAGTCAGACTAAACAAATAATTTTCAGAACAATTCAGACTACTTGTCATCCTAAACTTGGGAGTCACCCAATTGAGCTCTTAAAACCAGATTTCGTATATGTAGAATGTCCAGTTGGAAGCACGTGCTTATGCTTTAAAGTCATAATGGATTATTCTAAACCACTTTGTATACCAAATTTTCCTTGAATCTGATCAAATTTTATTTGGACTGACAAAAAGGTCCTCGGGTTGGATGGCATTGCGTGTCTTCAGCGGTTTCTTTCTGGTTTTTTTCATTTTGGTTTTTTCGGTTTCTGCTCATTTTTGGAGCAGCATTCACTAGTTTATTGGGCACCTTCGACGACATATTCTTAAACCCATGTCTCATCGCCAGTAATGATGCGTTTGACGAATGTAGGGTCCCCAGCTGCATCACTTTTGCGACCTCTACTTGACGCCGTTTTTTGCAAAAGATACAAGTCTTTTGGTACGAGTCTAGCATAGGCGCGCTTCATACCTAAAACATTAACCAAAATGTGCTGAGTCGATTCATAAGAGATTTTGAGATTCTCTGCCAGCTTTCTTTGCCTCGCATGACACAAGTTTTCGATGGCTTCACGACCTTTACTGAATGCTTTGTTCGACTCAAATACTTGTGTTCGTGATAAATTTGGTTCCTGTCTGAAACAATCTTTGTGTTACTTAGTGTCGTAACCAAGGTTAAGGTTAAGATTTACCAACGATTAAACCAAGCTGAAGTCGGTAAATTATTACATGGTGACCTGGTAAAGCGAACTTCGCTATAATTCTTTCGGGCCTCTGAAGACATCACACACTTTATGAGTAGCTACCTGCGATTTATAATTCCTAATCATCTACCTGTTATAACCCCAATTATTCGAAAAGAATTCCTGTTCAGTGCTGTAAGCCATATATAATTCAGTTGTTGCTGTGCTTCTTATTCGCTGATTGCAGTTCGACACATGCACATCACATTGGAACCTCATAAGTGTATACATACATGACACTTTAGCTATATTTTTTTTGCTGCTCACGGAGTTGCTTGATTTACGAGTAACACGAACGCCTTGCAAACATTGCGCATTTTTCTTGCCTTATCAGCATTTCTCATGCAATTCTTCTGCTATTATGTTCTATGACAATGCGAGACTTGTTGCCGAATGCCATTCTGCTCACTAGAATTATATAATTATGTTGTTTTTATTCGGAAAATGATGCGTGAGACACTTTAGTGGCAAGAGCAATTTTCTGGCAAATTATGGGAAAGAATTTTGAAAACACATTGGCTTTGATAGTGTAAGCTTTGAAATTTACTTCCAAAGAAATTCCATTTCAACTTAGTGACCCTCTAAAAATTCTAGGTGCTAAAGTATTACCATCTTTTGAGTTTTACTAACACGTATATTGCACCTAAACTCGTAAAACGACTAATATTATACATACATATGTATATATATTTGATCTATGCTCTCCAATAGTTCAACAAATAATTCTGATTGAGATTTTTTAATTACTGCTTCTATTAATAATAAATTCCGTGCTCTCTATTAATATGATCTATAAAATTTAATATATTATTAATCGCCACAGTAAAGTTCCATGCCGATACAACCGACTTCATAACGTCTTCATGTTCTACGAAATTTAAACATCAACATAGTCCGATATATAAAAATGTATAACACCAATAATCATAGCATGGATTTCGAAAGACAACCACGAGTATTAGTCGGGTATCAACGATGAGATTCAATCAAAGGATAGACGATTTGCCGAACACAAAGAACTACTGCTGAATTGCAACAAAAGCAAAACTATTCCTGTAAAGGATAGTCGCTGGTGATGAGAAGTGGATCCCTTACGACAATTTCAAACGAAATTTGTCGTGACCAAATCGCGGTGAGCCGGCGCAAATGGTGGCCAAGGCAGGTGTAACGGTTAGGAAGATTTTGCTGATTTTGAGTGGTAATGATTCACAACCCTAAAGACCTAAGAAAAGATGTTCATTGAACCAATTTAGATCATGAATTATAATATCTCGATATTTGTGACAAAATCCCGTTAGACTTCGTTGTATTCACGGAATTCTTATCTCTTAGATCTAGGTAAAATTTAATTAATTAATTAATTTGATTTATTTCTAAAAAATCGTTTCCTTTAAAAGATGCCAAATCTAAAATCTCTTGAAACTAGGAACCTTGGTAGGAACATTCGTTCTCTATTAAGGTACTGTGGTCGTTTCCTTAAAAAGATCTCAGAATTAACATTTATTGATGTTAAGGAACTTGTTAGAATGTTTCGTTCTTTATTGAGGTTATGTAATCGTTCCCTTTAAAAGACGCCAGATCTTAAATCTATTGATACTAGGAACCCTTAGAGTATTCTCTATTGCGGTTATGTGGTTGTTCACTTTTAAACACACCAGATCCGGATGCTACGTTCTTTAATTATATATTTTTAATGAAATCTCTAATGATCTGTACATTCTCAGCGCCAACACAGTGGCACTTCAACCTAAGCAGCTTCTATTTTTGGTCTATCGCCCAGCCCACTTGCCAAGCTACACAGATACATATATTAATATGTATACCATACTTAACTCGAGCACACAGAGGCATCCACTTAGATGTTATTACATAAGTGGACTCAAACATTTGCCTCTCATGCTGTGGCTGCCGTTGTCATCTAGGTTGTTGATTAAATGTTGCATGCAACATCTACCATTTAATTACCCACATTTAATTGCCACCATTGGAAATGAGAAGTGCGCATATATGTGCCTACATATGTACATATGTTTGTATGTGGAAGTGTGCATGAGGCTTAAATAATATTTAGCTAAGTTGGTTGGAAATAAAATGTTGGCTGTCATAATATTCCAGTCACCGCATGCCATTTTTTTTCCACTTTTTGCGCATCTTTGTCGTACAGTGTTGCATTGGTTGTTGCAACATTTGTTTGTGCGTCTGTAATTTTGTTTTTTTTTTGTGGCATCCGTTGCATTTGCCTCGCCACCGGCCTGTCCGTCATAGTTGACGCTTCCGTTGTTTGCTCCATTTTCAGACGAGTTTTTGCGGTCTGTCGGTTCATTATTTTCATAATTTTTTTTTCGCGCACAGCTCTCTTGGGATTATGCTGTGAGTTTTACTTGGAGACATACCCAAGTACATATACATATATACATATATATGTAGGTTTGTGCGCAAAAGTAAAAATTGAATCACTGCATAAAAATTATGATAATGTTACCCAGCTTTTACGTGCGTCGGCTTGTTGCCTGTTGCTTTTGGTTTGATAGTTGAGCGAGTTTTTTTTTTCTGTCATAAATGTCACGTGCATTACGTGTGCAGTTATTGTGGCAAATTCTTTGTGGTTCTTCTTCGCACCAAGACCGGGTGTTTAAGTGAGCTTACAAAAGATGAAATGAAAGACTCAACTTTGACGATAAAAAATTGCTTTGCACCGTAGTTACTTTTTGCAGTTACTCTCAATTTATTAAAACAAGTAAAAGAATTTTTAGCTCTACAAGGAGCTCTTTATACCTTCAGCTAGGAGAGAATTGGGATTAAACTAATCCAAGTTTCAATTTATGTAAACAAATTTGTACCGTACTGACGAAGAAACTTTATTTTTACATATTTTAATAGAAATATTTATTATCCCCTTCAAAATAGGCGTCTTTTGAACCCAATACAAGCATGTCAATGCTTAATTCAATTTTACATACAATTGTTATAAGTTTCGGTAGGGATGGTCTTCGGAGCCTTCAGCGAATTTTGAATATTTCGGTTTCGGCTCATTTTTGAAGCAGTATTCATAAACCACCGTCTCGTCATCAGTAATTGATTTATATAATAAATTATTATATAATAAATAATTCTCTTATTCCGATCTCTAAGCTAAACGAATACACGTTTCCTTAATAAAAGCTTTTTTTGTATCGCCGTTCTCTTTATACGATTGGCTGCAGCGAAGAAAGATTGTAAATTTAGACCAACTGATCGTTTTGTCAACGGCTTTATTTTACATTTAACTATATTGACTGTTTCTTTTTGGATCGTCAGCACACCTCATGAAAAAATTAACTCGAAATCCATTTTCATATTTCTTTACTCGTTTTGGCTGTGTCAATGGCTTTTCTTCCCGAATTGGATTTATTTCTTCTTTTCTGCTTCCAACAATTTAGGTTCGAGTGGTCAAGTATCTAAAGATAATTGCTTTGTAATCATTAGGGTAGTTTCAGTATTCAGAAACGTGAAAAAGAGCTCGCAAGTTACAAGAACAAAGACGCTACGAACGGAAGATCGCTTTTAGTTGAGTCCGTATATGATTTACGTAATTTCTGTGAACCGTAAAAAGGAATGTTCTAATGTAGAGCGGGGCTGATATGTGAGTAGTTAAAGCATTACCTATATAGCACCTAAAACGTCAAGAGGCAAGGATAGTTGTAGAAAGAAAGATATAACAGCGGTATTTTGGGGGTGTTAGTGAATGTTTAATGTTATGATTCATTTCCGTAGAAAGTGAAATTTGACTTTGAAAGCAGTGAGAAGTAGATGGAGTAGTTTAGCAAGCTGTTGAGCAGTAGCAAAGATTAATCAGTTTTATAGTAAAGTCTTCAAAAATCACAAGTTACGTTCTCTTAAAAGACCTTAAACTGTTCTATCCACTGAAATTCAATATTTTTTTTGCTTATATACTAACAGTTCCGTTGAGAGAAAATCGGAGCCCGAGGATGATTGTAGTGAATTGTTGGAGAAAACTAACCTGAAAAATTGTCCACGATTTGCAAGTTGATGTAACCTCTTAAACAGTATTACCATTGAACACATGAATGGCAGTGTCGAAAATAGTTCAGTGCGAATGTATATCGACGTGGCCGGATTTAGGTTGATTACAGTTTAAATATGTTTTCATAACTAGAAGACATATGCCCCCAAGGGTCCGCTTAGCAAAATTAAGTCACTTAATTGCCAACTGAAAAACACAACAACAACTTTACAATGAAATTTGAAACGCCACAATGATGACGTACGCCAGCCAACTAAACGATTTCGTGGCATACCCCTCAACGCTTCGCAACCTTCTGCAACGTTTTTTGCACAACACAGCATTTAGTTGTTTAAAGTTCATTGAATGCGTCGACAACGACACTTTTACGTCAACAATAAACAACGGATTTTGCCACGTAAATGACGTTTAAGCATGCTAAAGTGCTGTAAAAACAAAAACACATGACAACAACAAATGTAAATGCATTTCATGCAAGCATACGTACATAGATTCAGTGCAATCAGAAAGCATTTACAAGAGCAAATACAAAACAAATAGCAAAGAAAACAACAACAAAAATACAACATAACAACAATGCTAACGCTTAAGCGCACTCATTTGCACAAAACTCACTTAAAGCAAATTCATTCTTTAGTTTTTAGCTTGGCAAAAGCAATACAACGCTTCAACGCCACAAAATAGACAAGGCGTGAAAGCGGAAATGGCACTAGCAGACAGCACTCAGGGGGTCTGATGGACTAACTGACTAAGAAATGAATGGTAGGATGCATGCAGACAGCAAAAACACCAACAAAGGCTAGGACATAACGAGAGGCAGCAGAGGAGTGTACGCGGTGCCTAAAAGTAGACTACACAATTGTTGGCAGACATTTTTACGGCCTTTCACTGCTCCACAGGCATTTGCATACACATACATACATACAATATATATATACAAGCCATATATATATATATATATATACACTACTACATGACGTTGGCGTTAGCGCAGCCGTCAGCATGGTAGTCAGTCAATCACTGAGGCAATCGGCCTAACGCACATTCCGACAAAGTTTTACAAGCCAGCGTGCAGCCTGAGGTGGCATTTGGCAGGAGCTATAAACCTTTAAAGCAGCGACAAAATTCCGTTTGCCTCCTTTTGAAAGTGAGTGCAAATGCATCATGGCATCACTGCATGGCATGTAAGCTGTAACAGGGTGGTGGGTAGGCAGCTCACTTTCGAGGACGACAGTAGTCAAAAGTTCAGTGGATTTTGCTCGTCATTTTTAACACGCGTTGTGTTTTTGTTGCTTTTAGACGTCATTTGCATCCCTTAAGATGCTCTTGTTATTGTTTTTGTATTTTCTGTAATGTTTATTGTTTTTGTATATGTTTTTTTTTTGGTATTTCTGTAACCATTGTTGTTTTTGTATTTCTTATTATTTTGATTTTTTTGTGGTGTGTTAATGCGCTTAGAAGGGTTGTCTTTGTTGTTGTTGTTGCTAGAAGTTTTTAATCAATATACTTATTTGCGTAATATTCTGAATATTAACCTGTTTAACGCTTATCATTGGTTCTCCAAAGCTTGTTGGAGCATTATTGATAATTTTTTGTGTAAGTGTATGTATGTTTTGATATAAAATTGCATAATTTAATCATTTTCATTAATTTATCTTTATTTATCCTTACTCACTTTTCAGTTAAAATATTGGCCTTAGGCATATTTTCCTCTAATTCTTACACAAACGCACCATATGGTTACAGTTGTTCACACTTCATTCACTTCATTCTATGAAATAACAATTTTAACGGTGTTTTATTAATTAACTTTTATTTTAAAAACAAAGAAACAGCGAATTTTTGATTGCAGACAACTTTGACTGCTAAGCACAACTGCTCGCGATAGTGCCTAAAAGTAGACATCAGCTTTAGTGACAGTTAAGTTAGCGTTGCCACACGCTTTTTTTAAGTGGAAAAAAATTTGTTCAATTATGTTTTTATAAGTAAAGAAATGGTACATATATTTGTTATAAAATAGTTATATGAAAAAAAATATTTTACATTAGTTATAAATAATAATAACTTCAAAAAAATAATGCTTTACTTTTTATATATTTAAAATTTAATAAACAATAAAAACACATAAAACAGCAATATTTTAAATACACTTATTGTTGCTTCATTTTTCTGCTCGTTGCATACTTTTTATGTAGTAATTGTAATGATTTTTACCTATTCCATATTAATATATGCATATACAAAAAGAAAAATTTTTGTATAATTGTTTACATCTCATTAATTCAACGTTTTCAATATTCAAAATTCATGGCAACATCTGCTCTCAAAACGACAGCCCACTTCGCAACTGTCAGCGCAGCCAACTAATAAATTTTCACCTTCTTTTCCTTTCTTTTTCTGCCTCCATTAACGAGTGTCAGCAAATTTATATTTTTCACTAAATGTAAGCTATTTAAACGAAATATTTTGCAACTTGATGTTTAAAATTTATATTGAAGTGTTTACTAAATATATGTGTATTTATTTGTAGTAGCAAAGATGGAGAACGACGCCGGCGAGTCTGTTGATTTGTACTGCCCAAGGAAATGGTATGTGAACACGTGTTTGCGTTGCTCCTATGGAGCACCACTTGCATTTTGCAGCCTGCTAATAAGACAATTTTTGTGTGTTCGTTTTATAGCTCTGCTTCCAACAGAATTATCCACGCTAAGGATCATGCTTCAGTGCAATTGAGCATTGTTGATGTTGACCCTGAAACTGGCCGCATGACTGTTGGCTCAAAGACTTACGCTATCTGTGGTGAGATCCGTCGTATGGGCGAATCTGATGATTGCATTGTGCGTCTGGCCAAGAAAGACGGTTTGATTACCAAGTGAGTGTGCTGAAGTGTGTAGGATGCAAACGAAATTTACTAATCGTGTAATTCATCTTTTTACAGGGTTTTCTAAATGTAGATACTTCTTTCAATAAAATTGCAGTTTTTAAGATTTTAACTGGACAAAATGTGTTTTTAATCAAAATGACATTATTTTTTCTAAAGAATAGTGGACGTTGATCTCTGTGCATCGTATTGTTTCTGCATTGAAACGTTGGGAAGTTATTCTGCACGAATTTTTTAAATGCTGGTTTAAATAAAATTTAATTAAAATCGTGGTTTTAATATTTAAATGCAACCCTGTTGCTACGAACGAGTCTCGAAAATACAACCCTGCGCTGTTGCAATTCTGATTGGAAACGAATGACACATTTGCCCAATAGAAAAGGGCAAAAGAAACGGTAAAATTATTTTTCATTGAATGAAAATTCTTCAGCGATGCATATTCGGTGAATACACGGAGTTTTTCGCCGTCGGCTACAATAAAACAAAAGAAATTAAAAATACTTCAGAAAATAAGAAGGCAAGAAATGTTGTAAGCGTTTGTGAGATGTCATAATACAATAATAACGAATTGTTTGTGCGCGAGTGAAGTTGATTAGTTGAGAAAAATCGTTTGTGTATTTCAGTGCAGTGCAAAAGTAAAAATTTAGAATTAGAAACGATAAAAGCTAACAAAAGCGAATGGTGTACAATAAATTGTCTAAACAAGTAATAGATTTGGAAATTTTGTTATTAATTTAAATAATTATTATAACGAGAAGTAGTGAATATTTAACAACAATAAGTAAGTAAAAGGATCAGCGTTGAGTTGTTGTGCAAAAAAATCTCACCCAAGGCCACTTTGCCCAAAATAGATACATGCAAGTGCATCCAATTGGCTGATTGTGCGTGGTTGTTATTGTTTGAAGCGTTACGTGACACGCAAAAATTAATTACATATGTGAATAAATGTTTTTAATTTTTAACAAAGATTTGCCGCGAATACATTTTGCAAAAGTTGTGTAAGTGCGTTTATTCATTTTCGGTACAAGAGTCTTCATTCATTATATGAACAACACAACAAACATCCTCGTACGGCCGTACATTTAATTTGGCAGTTCATGTAAACTGACTTATTTAGGATTTTTATCTACATTTATCATTTACATTCGCTTGTTCCTACAGTATTATAAGGTAAATTTCATTTTACAAACCTATTTATGTTATGTTGTTTGATGTCAACTTTTGTTTTTGTTTATAGTTATCGCATTTTATTTATAGCTCATCAAGCCATTCATATTAGCGTTTTAGTCACACATCTTTAGGTCCTATGTTCCACCTAGGCAATTTGGAAAAATATATATACATGTGTAGATATATAAATACTGTAATTTATAAAAAATTTTATAAGAAACGCTGTTATGCTGTGAAGTATTAAATATAATATATTATGCGTTTTGATTGCTAAATATGGTCCGTCATAGTGACTTTATTGCACAAGTTTATTAAATGATGATGCGACAAAAAGCTTTAATCATTATTTGGTTTTCTAATTAAACATGTAACTATGATTCATTCGGCTTTATTACACTAATATTAGTTATGGATAGCCAAACTGGACTTTAAGTGACTTAGAAAAATATATTTAATATTAGTGTTTTTATTGCAAAACTGAGTTATGAATATAATTATTCTGAAAATTTAGATTCTAATTGCTGATGCAAAAATTATAAAAATTTGTGAATATCAATTAATATACTCAGGCAATTTTACTTATTTTTTAAATTTTTAACCAAAAGTATTGCGGTATCGCTTGATTAGGGTTTCTTGAAAGAAAGTACTCTAAAATGTTAAGTTTTCTAAATGGTATTTAAGCTTGTATTTCTTATCGGATAGAGAACAAATCATTTCGTGGCTTTTTTTTTATGATATTTGGAGAAAGTTTTGTATTAACTATTAAGGGGGAAGTAAAGTTAATTCGTCTAGAACAAGGCTCCGTTTTATATATATTTTTTATTAAACAGTTAAAATCTTTTTTTTTTTCAAATCAGTGGGTCTTTATATTATGACATTTGAAGAATATTCTGTTTAATTTTCATGGATAAATTTTTAAAATCGCGGCAATGGCAGCAATTACTCTGGAGCGTCTTGGAAAATAAGTTATATTGCGGTGCCCCTCATAACTCGGTGCTGCATCATCTGAAATGAAAAAATTCAAAACTATATCGTTAGATAATCGCTAAGTATGAAAATTCTCGCAATTTCGCTTCAATGAGAACAATGAAAGATCAAAAATAGTTTAAAAGCTCTACTTCTCCCTTAACTTTGATTCGAAATATTCTGGAATATCTACAATGCGAATTTTCTTTGAAGAAATTTGGCCTTTGAGATTGCTTTGTTTAAGGCAATATACAAAATATGTATCTTCTAAATTATTGCTGAGCATTAATTGGACTAAAGTCATATACATAAGTCTATACATGTATAATTATTTTTGTAATATTTTTGTACTTCATAGCAGCATTACTATGTATTAGAAACGTGTCTTATACTCATACTAATACTTAGTAATGCTTCACTTTTGTTTAGCGTAGAACTAAAGTTTCGTTCAAATTGTCTAAAAAGTAACTTAGTGTGTACCAACATAGAAATAAATAACAACTCAAACCAGTTTTAGCCGTCTAGTTTCTTGCATTTGCACTCGCGAGTCAAAATATATTATTTTTACGGTTGAAGTAAAATTGGCAAAGTTTGCTCGTTGAAAGGGGAAAAAATTGCTACAAGAAACAAAAGCGAAAAACAAGAATTAAAAATATTTCTGCACATGTCTAAATTAACGAAATACATTTATATATATATATGCATCCACTCATGTTTTAGAAAGTAAAACAAAAAATAATAATAATCAGCGAAGTAAAATATTTTACAAGCAAAATGTTGGTTTAGGCTCTGCGGTTTTTTCTCCATTTTCTTACTCACGCCAAGCAAATAAGTGATAAATAAAAAAACAAATTTCGCGACACATGTCAGTGACGGCAGCGCTGCTTTCTAAGTACACTTGCACCGAGTTTGCACGCGAAAAGCACTTAAAGTGAGCGATGACTGGCAGCCAAACGGGTACTCCTGCACTTGACTGTATTTATCGAAAATATGTATGCACATATGTACATGTGCATTTGCGAGTATACAAGTATACACATATCTGCGAAATTAGTTAGTTAAAAATACTCGCGGGAGTAGGTATACAATGTTTTGCATTGTGAGTATATATCCATATATAAATTAACGGGAGTATTTATTTATATAAATGTACATACATATATATTATTTATTTAATGAAAAAATTTGTAGATAAGAAACGATCATGTGCTTCGCAATATCTTAATGCTTTGTATGATGTATGTTTTTTTTAGATTTATCAAATTCACTGGTTATGAATAACTTATTAATTAATTGCCGTTGGATAGGTGTAATTTTACATTTGCTTCCGCCAGATGAGTCAGTAGAGTAGATTCTTGTAAAGTCAAGTGTTCTGTCGAAAAGTGATCGTATGCCATCAAAGTACTTAGCTCTTTAAAATAATTGTGGTTTCATAAGAAAGTCCCTGAAATAGTCCGAATACTTAAGTATATTTTCAAAAAGTGCCGCTTCAACCATAAAATGTGAAATATGTACATATTGCAGGGTTGCAAATTTTCGAATAAAAAAGATTTGGAATAAAAAAATTAAATTTCCAATATTTAATTTTGTTTTTGGATTTGAAAATTAACTTTAGTATTAAAAACTGACAAAACACTTTTAATTAAATAATTGGTGTAATAAAGAAAATTATTTTTAATTTAATAAAAATATAATATAATTTTTCCGTGCAGCAGCTGAAATTAAAAGAGATAAAAAAGGAAAGTCTTACAAATTTCTAACTGAAAAGCTATAATTAAAAGTAATTAAATGTTGATAATACAAACAGTGTTAAATATGTTGAAATTTTATTAAAATTAAGCTTTCCTCTTACAAAAATAACGCAAATGGTAGAACATGCAGCTAGCCATTTAAAATTCAAAAGTTATTTTTTTAAATTTTTACTTTTGTAATGAACTTGAGATTAACATTTTTTTTTGGATTTTACAATCCGGTATTAAGCATAAAAATTTTAATTTTTTATTTTCAAACTGATCGTGGCGATTAAAATTTTTTTTTAAATTTTTCTATTTTAGGTGAGAAATTTGCAATTTTTTTTATAAACTTGGTGTTAACATTTTTATTATCTTTCAATACGGTATTTAGGTTAAAAATATATTTATTCCGGTTTTTCGGTTTAAATCCTTATTTTTAATTTTGTATCTGACATTTGTTATTATCAATTTGGAAACTGTTTTTAATTAGGATTATAACATACAAAAATTTAATTACTTTTTAATGCATTATATATTTTCAACACCGATGTATGTATGTATGTAAATAAATATATATATCATTAAAAGTGTAATTTTGATAAGTTTTCAACCGCAAATATTTTTAGTAGCATTATTTCATAGCATTGTTTCGTTGTGGCTATTTATTCATGCGTCGCGGTTTGTTTGACGAGTGCAACTGTACTTGCCACTTAACACTTCGCAAGCTTTATTTACAAACTTGCTTACTACATACATACATATGTTTGTATGAACATATATGTACATACATATAAAATATGTCGGTTTTATTGAAGCTCTAAGTCCATATATACTTGAGTTCCCGTTTAATTAATTTAATGCTGGTGTTACTTGTTCGGAACACTGTGTATCGAAACGATTGTTCCGTCCCATTTTAATTAAATAAATAAACAAATCCACTTTTCATTATCCTCAGAGGCCGTATAAATATATATGTATGTATGTATAATATGAAAATCAGCGTGACGAGCTGAGTTGATTTCGTCTGTCCATCCTTACTATTTTATATGTCAACAAGTCCTTCAGTTTTTAAAATATTGATTTGAAATTTTACACACACCCTTTTCTCCCCAAGAAGCTGCTTATTCGTCAGAACCACCGATATTGGACCACCATAGTCTACAACTGAATTATAAAAATGAAGTTCTTTTATGGAAAGCTTTTTGATTTGACAAGATATCTTCACGGAATTTAGCCTAGATTTTTGTCTAAGGCAGCGCTACAATTTTATAACATATTATTCGGATCGTACCGCATATAGCTGTCATACAATCGAACCGATCAAAATCAACTTCTTGTATGGAAAATTTTTATTTGATAAAATATCCTCCTGAAATTTAGCATAGATTACGATCTAAGGCAATCTCCTAACAAAATGTCAAGATCGCACCACTATAGCATATAGCTGTCATACAAACTGACTGTCAAAAATCAAAATATATATATTTTTTTACCCTTTTATGCCATAAGAAATGCACCTGTTAAGGGTATAATAGCTCGATGCAGTCGGTGTTGACGTTTTTTCATGTTTTTAAAAGCAGCTTTGTTACAGAGTGTATCAACTTGACAGCTCTCATATAAATATATGTATAATGTATATGATGTATGTATGTATGTGTGAAAGCGCGAATAAGTTTATATCTGCATATGACGCCGCTGAAAGGAATGACAGTAAGAACAATAAAAAAAATAATAATAATATAAAATTATTCACAGCAGGAAGCAAAGGAAGAAATTAATGCACATGACTAAATAAGCATTTACAATTTTGTATATATCTACATATGTATGTATGTGTGTGTATAAATTTGCATAAAGTGTGCAAGGCAAAAGTTTATTCCACAAGTGCATAATATGCATACATACATACATACATACATACATATATGGGTGGGGATGTAAACATTTGTGGATATGTACGCAATCCTTGTAGGAATATAAACGGGCGATAAATTCATTATTTCATATATATAGTAAGGAGAGTAAACATAGCGAATATAATTTTCTATTACTCTCCTCATTTTTGTTGTTGTGGTAGCGGCAGAAAACAGCCATGAAGTAATTTGGAGAAATGCTGCCGAATTGACAGTCTTTGGCCGGGTAAAAATTTGGGTTCGTGCCGATTACGCGTTCGACTATTGTAAGAATGGTCTCTGGCTTCTCTTTAGTTGCCGCATAAATCTTATGTCTTTATCTCCTCATTTGATATTGAATGGTCCACATAAGTACATATAAGACACCTACACTTGATGTTATTTGATA